ACTCAGAATAACTTTAATGTCACTTTAAATGTAAGCTGATCGGCATACCTTAAAATGAAATCTCGTTGCATACAGCTCCAAAGGGTCACCGCCTCCAATATACTCTACATAAAACCTAAGCCCTTAAATATTTGAAACTACATTTAAACCAGTGCAACCAATACATAATAAAGGAATAAGAGATGGCAAAATAAGACGTTTTGGGGATGGTTCGTGTTCGCTAACCTTTTAGCTAACCTACTGAGCTCGGCCGGGCCGTGCACAGATCACCCCAAATGTCCCGGCGCGGGGAGGCAGGCTTAGAAGACAGCGGGCTGAAGCGAGTCCTTCTGCATGAATCAGCCTCGCCCCGTATAGCTCATTCCTAGTCTCAGAGGAATGAGCTTCTACAGGTCTAGAATTACGCGGGAAAAATAAACTGTCGAGCGCGCGCACCACCCCCAACAGCTTTCAGAACAATTTTTCCCACAAATTTACCCATCAAATTCCCGCGGCTAGTTCGCCAGAACGCAGGGCTTCCGGATAGCTTCACTCTCCCACCCGGAGAAAAAAACACTTCCGGGTCATCAAAGGCTGAAGCTTTTCAATTGGCTGATGGCGGAGCGTTTAAAAAATAAACCGCCACGAGTGGCTGCTCGAGTTAAAAGGTTCTATGGTGCTTTTGTTAATTTTTTTGACAGCGCGGTGAGTTTGAGGGAGGCGAGCGACGCTGGGAGAAAGGCGCATTTGGGACTTGAAGTGTGTGGCCAACAAGTAAGGGAGAGGGATGGAGGTTCTTGTTTTGCTCAGACACCGCATCTAACTCTTTTCTTAAGAACCCGAATACTCTGTAGAAGTATAGAGGGTCGGCATCTTAAAAAAATATACCCGACTCCTGATGGAGCAACCGGGAAAACCTTCGGCAACGAATTGGGTCGGTAAGAGTCCGCAGGCAGAGTATGACTGTAGCAGTCTCCTCCAGTAATTATATAACCATCATAATTAAGAACCACTAAGAGGTTGCTTTGCTTCCTAGATTTTTCTTAATGTTTTAAACTTTGGCTGTGTTCATTGCGATGCCTTTGTTTAAACTTATTTTTGCCTGTTCGAAATCGCCTATTTATCTTAGCTGGGTAACTGCAGGTTAATTTACCTGTGGTTAAATTGGCAAAGTGGTCTTCAAGATACAGTTATGCTGGCAGGCTGGAAGAAAGAAAAATATACTTTAACCTTGGTATATTGTTGCTGTGTGGGTTTATCCAACACATTGTCATAAGCTCTTGTGGTACACACAGCAGTAACTCCCCTCCCCCTTTTTAGCTTGCTGTGTAAATATAATTACTGTGTTGTGTTGGAATTGGGTTGAAGTCAGTCCTGAAATTCAGTCACGTAAGTATTGAGTAGGCGAAGCATTGCAAAAAACAAACGTGGATTGTTTTAATTATCACTTTTTGGTTCAGTTTTAGTTTGGTTTAGTTTTAGCTTTAGTGCCTTATTAGAGACATGTGAGATGAGTAACAGACATGCTGAGAAGGATTTTTCTCCTCTAGTACGCTGCTCTATTTTGCTAGGGTACAGTTCTGCCCTCTATAAGACACTATTTTGGCCTTTTATTCAGCATAGTAGACAATTATTTAATTGACAGGAACCATTTGGTAAGGTTTATGCCATCATTTGACTCTCAATCCAAGTTCATATTGATTCAGAAGTAATAGATTATTTGAACATTATCTAATTTTTAAGTTATCCATCCATTTGGAAGTTGCCTATTCACAGAACTAGATGGCTTACAGTGATAAAATGAGCAACAATGTTAAATGCATTGATTTAAAAAAATCCCACAATTGCTATTGGCCTAATTATGGTTCTTTATAAAAGAGCATCTTTTTAACTCTATTAACAGATAACATATAATCTTGACCTGGGGATACAAACTGTCTGGGGGACATAGTCCTGAAGGTGGCAAACACCCAATATATAGAAGGCCTTATAGGTAATAACCAGCAGTCTGAGTTGGAACCAGAAGCCTAATCTAAGCCAATATAATTCTCACAACATAAAGTGTTCCATTGCTAAGCCACTTGGTTTATCTCTATTCAGCAGTAGGTGGACCCTCTGCTAGCTGTAGCTTTTAGGTTATTTTCAGGGTAACCCAGTGGTGGTATTCGATCGGTTCTGCCTGGTTCTGGAAAGCCGGTAGGAGCGATGAGCAGCGGAGACCAAACTGGTTTTCTCTGCTGCTCTAATGGCTCTGCTGTTGGGCCCACCCGTCCACCTGGGCTCCCATACTCACCTTTATCTGCTGAATTTGAAGCACAGCTGCTTTACGTGGCACAGAATAGTGCTGAGCAGCAGCTGCTGAAGCGATCGGGAGATTGTGCAGGCTTGCCGGAGGTGAGGTAGAATGCCTCTGTACTTGTGCAAACGCCTCTGCGCATTTGTTTGCAAAGTGCGCATTTGGTGCATGCTTGCACACAGTGTGTGTGCACGCACACAAAGCACGCCCACCAAAGCACGCCCACTGAACTGGTGGCAACAATATTTGAATCCCACCACTGGGGTAACCACATGTGGGGAAAATGATGGTATTCAAACTACGAGATGTTAAGGGCATAAGTCACTGTATTCAGTGTCATCTAGTCCAGGAAGGGTTAAAACTGGAAAATATGTTAAAGCTGACCAAAGGCTCCTCTGACTGCAACCTTTACTTCCTGCTCTGGTGAGAATTGTGAATCTAGGATGCTCTCCTAACTGCTCGTGTCTATGGCTTCACAGAGGGCTCACTTGTCAAACATCAGAAGTATCTTAAAACATATTTTTCAGGGCACATTAGAAGTAAAAGCCAAGATAGGTGTAGATCTCCGGAGAAAAAAAAAGTGGTAAATTGGTAATAGGGTAATGATGAGATATCAGAATTGCTCCTATTCTGCCCTCACCAAGAGCTGTGGTACCACAATGGTTACAATACAGTATTGCAAGCTAATTCTGCTGACTCCCAGCAATTTGACTGTTACCAGCTCAAGGTTGACTCAGCCTTCCATCTTTTCGAGGTCGGTAAAACGAGGGCCCAGATTGTTGGGGGCAATATGCTGCACTACTTAAGGCTGTAAAGCACTGTGAAGTGGTATACAAGTCTAAGTGCTATTGCTATTTTATGACTATCTTCTCAAGGGAAATGGACCCCTAGCTGCTAGTTATTAGGTCAATAGGGGAAGGAGAGAACTCCAGCCTCAATGAGACAAAGGGTAAGAGACAACTTAGACAATTTAAAGAACTAAAAGAGTCAGATGATCATATCCTACAATACTAAAGAAACTAGTAGGAACAATTGCTAAACTGCTCTGAAGAATTCTTGGAGGTGAGGTTGGAGGAGAGCAAATATTATCGTCGTTTTCAAAAAGAGGATGAAGAAAACATGGGAGACTTCAGAATTTTCAGTTTGAAGTCTATATTGAGAAGATTAGATTACAAAGACGCATGTTTGTGAGCATTTCAATAGCATGGTGCAATTACAGGCACTCCTTTTTAGTGACTGTCTCATTCAGTGACCATTTGCAGTTATGACAGTGATGAAAGAGAAGTGTTATGATCTTCACAGCTCTTAAAAGAAAAGGAAGCTGAAGTAAAATCATATGCTTGTGCCACACTTTTAAAAAAATTAGATTATAATTAAGATGGACATATTCAAGTGATGACTTCTGGATGGGTGGTAGAGACTACTGCTTCCTTTGATGCCACAGGCATCATTTTCTCCCTCAAGGATATGTTTACCTTCTATGCCCAGTTCATGCCCTCTCTGGCTATGTTTACAAGACAAGAGCACCCATTTAATCCATAAGTGATTGACCTTTTTTCATAGAGGTTGCTGTCTACATCCTCAGATGTCACATGTTTGAGAGTATCTTAATGATCTCACAAAACATGAACTTGTAATTTTATGAGGCAATATGAGATTATCATTTAAAGGACTTCAGAAATAAGCTTTTGCAATTGCTGTCCCAATTGGAATTTCACATGAAGGTCCAGTCAGGTGCTGCCTTCCTAGGTTTCAGAAGAACAATTAAGACAAGAGGAGGGCATGTTATCAGTGAAGATGAATATAGTGACCACATGATTTTGTATATTTTTAATTTGTCAGTTTTGTTTTCTAGTGTGGATGGATTTCTTATTTTTGAGAGGGTGCTTTTTATGTTGATCTTAATTGTTGACTGTCCTGTCCAGAGCTTTTAAGAATGGGAGGTATATAAATTAAGTAAAACACCTGGAAAACTAGGTGTTGGCAATTAATAGTCACTACCATACAGACTGTATTATTGCAGGACCCTGTTTTTATATTAATTCTAGGTTATGCTATTTGTATGCTTTTATGAAATAAACTACCTGAAATTGTTCCAACTCTTGCAATATATAACTAGAAATAAATTACTTAAGACTTTAAAAGTGAGCCCTGTTCAAATAATTAATTTAGATGATAAGTTTGTGAAGAAATACTTTGTTTATAATTTTTTGAATTCCTATGCTGATTCTATTTATCATATGTCAAGTATAAACTATTTTTCCCTGTGCTGTGCTATCATTAAGCTTCCTGTTCTCAGTTACATTGTTTTCTGCTTATGATTCATTTTCTAAATGTTAAACATAGTGACGACTGACTAATGGTTATTTTAGCTACAATTGATGGGAATTATAGGCCAAGTACATGAAGAGACCCAAGTGGGAGATCCTACTTTGTTATCTTTAATGTTCAACTTCAAAGTCAGTTTTTCAAAAATCTTGAATTCAGTGCCCAGATTGGATTCTTTCTTGTATTTAAGTGTTGTTTCCCAGGATGTCCTTTTGCTATATAGTTACCTTGATAACCCATTTTAGGTTGTCTTTAGTTTTGCTTCCTGTCCAATTTTGTATTTTGAACTTTTGCATTTCCTTCCATTGCTGCTTTTTTCCTTATAAAAGCCATTGTAAATTCTTAATATTTGCAAGTTGTCCTGTATGATTTAACTTTTTTATTATTATTATTTAGGATGATGACTCCTCTTCAGCAAAGCATTTGGAATATGATTAAATGTTTCCGGAGAAATTGGCGCTTATTTTCAGATTCAGAAAGGACTACAGTGTGTGGGGCAGATTGTATGCTGATGGCTTTGCACTTATCTGTTGCTGAAATTAATAAGAAGGTTAATATATATTGATTTCAGGGACTTTTAAAAAGAGGTCAATGAGTCCATAAATCACCCAAACATGTTTGAAGGATATTTTAATATTTTGTTCATTATTCTGATGTTTGAGAATATAAAAGTATTTTATTTCTGAAAAACTACTAATGGATTCATCAAAATCTTGTTATTTTCTTTGATTAGCTGCCTCATAAAGAATTAATTTAATATCTTAGCTTGTGTAGCACTTAGGCATCAAACAAACCAAAGTTCCTAAATTTGCTACCAGTTCTTGGTTTAAATAAGAAAAGATGGGTATGTACATTCAAATCTCATAAATATCTGAATGAAGAACATGTTTTCTGTTACATAGAGAGATGATGTTATTATGGTAGTTAAGATGTACAGTATGTCTGGGAGACCAAAAGTCAGTAGGGGAAACTCAATAGATTTCAGGTTGATCATTCACTTTCAATCCAAATAAGAATATTTTAGTAATTGTGTTCCAATTATGGAATACCTTCCCAAAGGAAACACAATTAACCTCCAGGTTTTAGACAGAAATATGACTGTCATAGCATTGGGGGCAACCAATGCACAAGAACTAGAATACTTTTTAAATTGCTGCCAGTAACTTACTTGTTTTTTAAATTTTTTATTGGATGGTTTAATCATTATATGGTGATCTGCACTGTGAAAGGAAAAAGGGATACATTAAACAATTGTTATTAACACTGGAATCATTTTTTTTCTTTAATCTCTCTTCAACTGCATGCAGTTGAAAGATGAAGTATCTCATCAAACATTTCCAAGAAAAGTTACTTTCTCTGGTGAGATCAACCACAGAAATTTTATGCTCAAAGGAATTTATGCTGTAAAATTGTAAGCAGAGCAAAAATAAGGGAAAATGTAGGAAGTAAATCATTTTCAGTTTTATCTGTAATTCCAAAATGCAATTTAAATATCTTTGTTTAAGCCTCTTTTCCCAGCATAATGTATATAAAATAATATATGTTTTAAACTGAAAAGCTAGACTTGTTAATCTGACTGCACAGTTTGAAAAACCAAGTATATTATTATTGTTACCTCACAAAATATGATATGACTATGATAGGAATTACCCATGTGCAGTTATAGAAATGTTCTGCTATCTGGCTTATTTTATCTATTAAGGAATAACTAGACACTCTGGGTTATGAGTATCTAACATTTTAGCTTGCCTGGGGTTCATTGTGTGAGGAGGAATTGTCTTGGGCCCTGTATAAAATATATAATATAAAGTATCTAAATCATATAATAAAGTTAAAAAGTTTATGATATCATGGAGCCACATTACTAGCTGTCAAGGGCCACATACAGCCCACAGATTGTTGGATGGATATATCTGCTCTAAGTGATGCACAAAATACCGTATATATAAAATATTAAGTCCCAAATAAAGAATCCAAATAAAGAAAATGACCTGGTAACTTATTTAAAAAGAATTTTTAAAAATGTACAATTTATAGAACTGCACATCTCACAATAGCGTACAAAAATTAAAACCACCATAACAATATAAATTCATGAATTTGTTAAAATGTAACCTCCAGAAAAAAACTACATCATAAAAAGACCTCACATAACTATTGGCCCAAATGCCTGAGGGAAAATCTAGGTCTTCAGAGCCTTGTGAAAGGCTAACAAGATTGATGCCATCCGTTTTTCTGGGGAGGTCCTGTTCTATAGGACAGATATAGCTGCAGAAAACTAGCTTTTACAACTGTAAAAAGGCACCTACATTCACCTACATGAAAATACCACTAAAGAAGAATACTAACATAGAAAATATATTCAGATTCTGCAAATGTCAAAAGGACTGGGAAGAAAAGCTGTAAAAGAAGCATTTAACCATTTTTCCATAGTTACATCTTTAAAAGCCATTCATCAGTGTCATGCAAAAAAAATTACTTTTATGGAAAAACTCATTTTTAAACTTTGATACAAAAATATGATTACTACAAAATAATGTCAGAACTGCAATGCTTTAAGAATTGTAGATTTTTCTTCATTTTACTCTTGTGAAATACAATATTCTTGTTGTCTATCACAGACTTAAGCTGTTGAACTTTATGAACTTCCTTTATGAATTAGCCAGCTGGCATTTGGTCCTAGCAAAACATTTTCTGAGTTCTACCACAAACTTACAGTCCTTTCTATGAATAATATGCTGTCATGGTGGGCACCTGATCATGAAAACTGATATTTGGACAGCATTTTTATTTGGATTTAAATTGTTTTTATAATACCAGTATAAACAAAGTTAAGCCCTGAAAATTCCTCATCTTGTGAGAAAAGATTTTGACTGAATTATATTGGAACTTAACTAGCTGTTGCATTTTGAAGAACTGGTTCAAAAACATTAGTGAAAAAATATATTCCACTATCTTTAAGCTGCAATCTTATACCATATGGAACAAATCACTTTAATATCCAAAAACTTCTAATAAATCAGATTAACTTACATTTAGGTTTCTTTTATTTTTAATGGGAAAAATACAACTTTAGAGCAAAAATTGAAACAAGTTGAATGTTTTGTGAGACAAAAATCCCTCCAAGTGTTTTTGGGCTAAAGCAGCAAAAAGGGAAACTTAGTTATTGTTTGATAATATAGTATACACACACAGTAATTTTCAAAGCACTATATTATTACTCTTCCTAGTAAACGTCATTCAATTAGTACACTGTATAAATGTAATTCAACAACCAGTATAATGTAAAAACATTTGATCCTTTAATATGTTCACCTGTCACATTTCCTTTCTATCTTGTCCTTCAGGAAAATTCTCCCTGTTTTATCTTTCTCACAACAACCATGGCTTAGTTGCCTGACAGTTCAATTATTAACTCTTAGTTGCTTGGTGGAAAACCACAACTTTTCTTTTATGAGAAGATGGGCAAAGCCCAGGCTACCCAGTTACCAAAGCAACAGGAATAACATGGCAACCATTATCTTCTCTGGTATTTTGCTCCCTTGTTTTCTATTTCCTGCATATTTTATTCACAGACAGTGCATGTGACACTTTGCATTGGTTAAATGTATCCAATCAAATAGATGCAATATGCAGTGGATGCAGGAATGATAATGAATTATCATGAATATCACAAGAATAAAACAAAAGATAGAAAGTTATACACATGAAGGTGCACCTGGGTGACTTGGTTCAGTATCACTACTAGCTGGTCTCACAGTGAAGAACACTTTTATAAATGTCATAAAATGATACAAATATAATCAGTTACAGTTAAATTTTCCTGATACAATAGCTCTGTCATTTCAGCTCAGTTAAGTTTGTAAAACATTTTTATATCTTGACTGATGTTGCTGTAAAGCATCAGAATCCAGTTATTCTGAATAACTTCTCTCTTTTTTTATAGCTTTGTGGTGAGTTTAAAGCATCTCTTAGTGAAGTGATATTATCTTGGAATTACTTTGTTCCTGACAAGTTAGGTATATTACATGAAAATGCAAAAGCTCCTGAAAATTATGCAGACATCCGAAATACTTATGCTAGCTTTTTAAAGCACTGCAATATGATGGATCTTGTAGATACATATATAAAATGTGAGACACTAGGACTGCAAATTGAACCTATATCTTCTGTAAGTATATGCCATTATTGATTTGAATGTATAGGTGTCGAATAAAAATTGTTTCTAATATAAATCAGGGAAATTTTACAGCTTTCAGTAAAAAAATTTTTTTTATCAGACCATGGTCAAAACAATAATGTCTAACTTATTAGGAGTGGGTTAATAGGAATTTTTGTAAAATGCAGTAGCACCTTTTGTGATTTTATTTAAAAGACTGATAGGAAAAGTAGCCAGAAAAATGGTATTTAAAAGATCCTAAATTACCTGCACAATGATCTTGAAATTGCAAAAACCACAGATTATGTGATTTAGAGCAGGGGTCTCCAACCTTGGCAACTTTAAGACTTGTGGACTTCAACTCCCAGAGTTCTCTTAAAGTTGCCAAGGTTGGAGACCCCTGATCTAGAGTTAACATATCATCCTCTGCACTGATATTTTCTTTGTAGAATTATTAATGCTGATGCCTTATCTAAACAAAAGATTTATTTATTGACACTTATTTATAATTTATTTAATATATGTTTGAACATGTACAGAATAATATATAAACATTACAATCTTCTTAAATTTTATTACTTTATTCTACCTCTTGATGCAGGAGGACAAGCAAAGTCTATTCTAGTCTTACCTATATTGGGTTCATTGGTTCTGCTATGTAGGTTTCGAGAACCTTCCCAAAGCACAGTGCATTTCTTTCTTATTTTTTATATAATGGACAATACTTTTTAACATTCAGTATCACTATTTTAAAAATGTGAAAGTAAAGTTTTTAGTCATAAAAGGGATATCATGATTTACGAAGGTAAACTGAAAGGTTTCCCAATACCTCTCTCTTTGGAATATAAGTTGCTTCTCTTTAAAAAGTGACTATCAAGCTAAATATAATTCTGAAATATCTTCTTTGCCAAAGGTACAATTGTTAGAATTTATTGCTGGAACAGCAGATTTAACAATCAGTTGTACTGATTATGCATTCTCCACACCAACAAGAAGAATGAACCAGGATAAGGAAGAGGTAAGAGGTAACCCTAACCCTTCTCTTTTATTTTCTAACTACTATAAAATTTCTTATGAAAGATAATTATATTATACTGACCTCTGACCACAATACATATTTCATTTGCTAATTATTATGTTAGCTGTTTTCCCCATTTTAATGGTTAGTGTCAAAACGCTATTCTTTCGACTTGTTGAACTCCCAAGTCTTGTTTGGATCCTGCTTTAAACTCTGTGTTACATGGTTTTTAAAAGTCTGGTCAGAAATAAAATAGAGTGTTTTCAGAACATCTATTGACATTTGAATCAGTAACAATTTAGCAATGAAATAGTATCCATAATCTATTGATCCATACAAATCTTCAAAATGCCAGATTGGTAAAGGTAAAAAAAATATATGAATAATATAAAATTGTGGTCAGTACATGGTTATTTATACTAATTCTTACCTAAAAACTTGGCGGCTGGCCTCATGAAACCCACCCTGCTTGTATTATCAACTGCTAGAATTACCCACCCTGCTTGTATTATCAACTGCTAGAAACCACCTCTTAGAATTCTTCTATAAAATATTTATGTTTTATAATTTTAAAGTTTTTAATCTTAATCTTAAATTATTCTGATTTTAATGTTTAATTTTACTTAATATATTGTGCTCTGCCCCAAGAGCTTCTCCAAGAAAGGTGGGCAGTTAACAAATATGATATATAAACAAATAAATAAATAAATACATTTTTTCAAAATAGTGTCAGTAACTTGAAAATTATATGGATCACATTTTACTTTATTAAGAAAATTTCCTAATACATTGCTACATGATATTTTTTTCAAAGCAATCTAGAAGAAAAGTGATAGGATTGTATTTTAATTATAGCTGCCAATGATGGTGAAGAAAACTTTGTATGCATATTTAACCTTACTGGTTAATTCCAAAAACGATTTGGCTTTTGCTCATATTCTAAACATTCCTGATAGAAAACTTGGAAGAGAGGCTTTTACTGACCTAAAGCATGCTGCCCAGAAGAAACAAATGTCTATATTTCCGGTATGTATAAGAGATTGCTTTGCTTTGCTTTGGGATAACATTGAAGAGATGTAACAAAATAGTCTTATATAGTTGATTCCTCCACTCAGAAGTTAATTTGGGATTCTTTTTCTACATTAAGAAAATGTGTATAGAATATTATTTTAGGCAGATATAAATATTAGTTTAGTAAACAATCGTATAGTTCATAAAATCACTACCAATATTTACATTGCTGACAAAATGTTATTGATGATAATATGAAGAAAAAACTATAATACTATAGTGATTAAAATAAAAACATAACAAAACATTAACAAAATTATGTAATTATATACAATAACTATAATTTATTATTTAGTTAATGCAATCCTTGAGCTTCTAATTAAATCCAATCCATTTAATAATTTACTGTGTCATCTTATTTTTGGAACACAGTTTTTTTTTTAAATACAGATATATTTATACTGTGCAAGTGTTCTGTCGCTTTCAGATCTGTTTTGGTTGCTTGCAACTGCCTAGAGAAGTTCCTGTATTTTTCCTGGCATGAATTTTGGAAATGGTTGGCCATTGCCTACTTCCTGGGAGAAAGAGTAAATGGTTCAGCTAGTTTGGGCCTAAGGCAGGGCTACAAATCATTCATTTCCCCATTTCTAGCCTGATCCCTTTAAACCACTACACGAAACAGCTCTCTCAATTTTTTTTACAGTGAAATTACTGTGTTTGCTGCATTCAAGGCTAAATAAACCAAAGTTATAAATGAGACATGTTTTATGGATATAATTCAACATTGCATTGAGATATTTAATTATAACATTTCTTCCTTAAATTATATTACCATATATAGTGGTTTGAGGCCACTATATCTATAACCGAATAGAAATCAAATAATGTGAGTTAAAGAATCTTCAAATTTCTTCTCTCACCAGTATAAGAAATTTAATGTCTAATCCTTTTTAAATATAACTTTGAGGTCTCCAATAAAAATGTAATGTTTTCCAATTAATTAATTTCATTCTTAAATGATAGGAACTATGCTACATATTTTAACATCTGGACCCATTATTTCTTCAAATGTGGATATTCCAATTCTTCATTTCACAATTCAAATATATAACTCATACTAATTTTCATTTTAGTAGCTTATAAAATTGTACTGCTGGTTACTAACTTGATGGCTGCATCTCATGAAGAAGCTAAGATGCAGACATCTTGGTAACTGCTAAAACAACAAAGCCTTGTTTTTTAATTAATATGCATTTTTGTTATTCATTTGGCCAAGTATATATTAGAGGTAAGTCAGAGTATTGACTTAAAGCATTGTTTCTCAAGAACTTTAAAACAACCATTAGAAATCAACTGATTTAAAATAGTAATTCCTTGTCCAGCCCAGTCATTCCAAAAGAAATTTTTCCTGCTATTTTTTGAATTTAATTGTACCACAGCTTCAATTTCTCATGTGATTTTGGGATCAAAATACAACTATCAGTTAATAACCAAATATCTTACAAGTTTTCAATATGAGCTGAAATGCCATGCTTTCACCATTATTTTAAAATAATATAAGGTTGCAGTCTAAAATAACATAATTAGTGGTTATTTTTGAGTTGTATATGATTGTGCTGTTTGGCCGGAATACAGAGCATCCTCTATTCAAGCCACATTTTGTAAAATATTTTATTTTCCAACGGTAATTTCTATTGTACAGTAGACCTCTTTTGAAATCTAGGGGTTTCTGAACAATTTGATACAATGTGTATGGGCACTGCTATTGAAAGAATTAAAAAATTGGGTATGTGTGCTGGGATATATTAGAGCTCTCTGGATTGTTTTAATTGTAAAAGAAACAAGGCTAAAAAGTACTCATTCCCAGAGCCGGATATTCAACATTTTGTGGGTAGACTTATACATGCTGAGTTTTGCCATGTGAAAGGAAATGTCTTCCATATGCACTGGTTTTTCCCAGCAGGTTACAGGAAAAAAAAATGGGTCAGAAAATGCTGATGTTCATATCATCTTGGTCTACTACTTTTAATAAAGTCTTGGAAACAAGACTTTGCTCGTTGTTGTCAGAGCCACAGGAAAATCCAGAAGCAAAACTAGAACATCCCATTGAAATCTAACAACCTAAAAGCAAAAGAGGGCATAAATGATTACATAGAGATTATTTCAATTTCCAACATACAGTGAATGCATTTTATTAAGTAAAAAGTTTTTATGCCTTTTTGTTAAGAATTTCTTTTTAAAAACCTATCCTTTTCTATTATCATTTTATATACAGTAACTAAATTACGTGTTTCTTGTTAGATGGCAACTTCATTTATACGTGCTATAGAACTTGGAGGAAAAGGATATGCTCCTTTACCAACTGATCCTTTAAGAAGCCATGTAAAGGGGCTTTCTCAGTTAATTCACTTTATTGATAAATTAGAAGAAATTATTGGTGAAGATCTGGATTCAAGGTAATTCTTTTCTGGTACATAGACTTACCTATTATTTTTTTAAACTTTAAAATGTATCTTTATTCATTGCCTTTGAAAAACCAAGCAAATCTGGTTCTTAATTACAGTAGTCATCAAATTGGGTAAATCTCACAATATGATATCCTTTTTAATGCAACTGAAATAATTCACGTGGAAAACAGCACTTTATTAGTTTTTACTTCTATCAAGCTTTCATTGTTTCAGTCTCTTTCAACTATTTTTGTTTTTCTTTCCTATAATTTATTATTGTTCTTATTAAAATTATCTGCATAAGCAGAGATTACAGTAGCTATTATTGCAACAGCTACAAACTCAATGTTATCCCTACATCAGTGATGGTATTCGACCAGTTCTACCCAGTTCTGGAGAGCCGGTAGGAGCAATGAGCAGCAGAGACTGAACCGGTTCTCTCTGCTGCTCTAATGGCTCTGCTGTTGGGCCCACCCTTCCGCCCGAGCTCACATGCTGACCTTTATCCACTGAATTTGAAGCACAGCTGCTTTGCGCAGCACAGAATAGTGCCAAGTGGCAGCTGCTAAAGTGATCGGGAGATCATGCAGGTTTGCCGGAGGCGAGGTAGAATGCCTCTGCACCTGCGTAAATGCCTCTGCGCCTGTGCAAAGTACGCATTTGGCACACGCGTGCATGTAACGTGTGCACGCAGGCAAAGCATGTCCACCAAACCACACCCACCGAACCAGTGGAACAGTATTTGAATCCCACCACTGCCCTACATGCAGTTATTGTGATGCGACATACAGTAGTCTAACATCAGATTGTTTTATAATTAATATTTCATGTTAGGATTAATAATTTTATAGTTATATTTGGAACGTTGAAAATTAAGGACTGTTAAAGCTCAGTTGAGAAGACAAAAGTGGTAATGTGGCAGTAGAAAGCCAGTTAAGTGAAGGTTCGTTCTGAGAAAATTGCTGAATAAGATTTAATTCCTTGAGGGAAAAGCTTAGTAGAGTAAGAGGTAAAATAGATGAGCCTTGTGCAAGAAGTAAGAACAGGTAAATGGGTATTCCAGTAGAGATTTTAATTTTCCTGCTAAAAAGATAAAATATTTTGGATTTTTTTAAAAAAATAATTATTTAAGATTAATTATTTACCAAGTTGGAAAAATATATGAACATATATTTCTAGATGGGAAAAGTTAAATCTATCTTGGTTAAGAATAATCACACCTGTCAAAATGAATTTCTCACCACGACTAAACTTTCTTTTTCAAATTATTCCTGTATTTATTGAAGATAAGCTATTATTTGGCATAGACAAGTAATGAATTACTCTTCCAGTCTTCAAGAGGCTCTTCATATGTATCTGGATCCACAAATTAGAAATTATTATGCAAGATTAAGTTAACTGCGGAATGACTGGGATATACAGGAAAATAATAAATCTGGGCTTTTCCCTTCCTACTGTGTTTTAAATATTTGCTTTTATGAAGACAAAGCTTCTAATAAATTTGCTCACAAATTTAGAAATAGTTTGTATGAATTTCAAGATTTTATTAAGAATAGGACAAAGATACAAGTCGCATAATATGCAGCATTCTGCCACATTTAACTGGTTTCAGTGCCTTCAAATAAGCAGTGTGATAGTAAAAAGAAAGGCTATTGAGAAGTCTGTCCAGTTTTACAGTCTAATAACACATATTATTGACTTATGCTAAGCATCGTGTATAAATTATTAGTGAGCATAACTCAGTTATACTTGATGCAACAATACAAATTTTAATGGAAGAACATTATAAAATTTACTTTGAACATAATAATCAGAAATGGTATAAGATTCTGTTGGTATATCATGAGTATTTTCCTTAAAAAATACTGGAAATGTAACAAGCAGGGTGAATCCTCCTTCCATATGTTATGACAATATAGTGAAACCCTGCAATATTGGAAAATGATTCATTCTAGAATGGGACAAATTTTGAAAACTCCAACCAGAGATATCTTTATTAAATGTTACCAATCTAGACATCCCTTCAAAATGTACTGCACTGGCACTGTATTCGTTACTCTATATGCTTTTTATTGGAAAAATCCCTTGGACTCTTCTTTTGAAGAATGGTTAATTAAACTATGGGATTATATCTAAAATATAAGATATCTAAAATAACTACGCAAAATCGAATTTGAGTCAGTCACTGGGACTAGAGATTTACTCTTCTGAGCTTTTGGACTCATGAAGAAGAAGAACAAGAACACCAGCGAGGATCAGACGAGGAGACCCAAACTCATTGGTAGCCTCAAATTGCAACGAATAAGGACACACATTTAATTTTGCAGCAGCTAAGATCATTGGCCATGCAGGCACAAAGATAGCCAGGGAAATGAATGAAGCCTGGGAAACGGGCCCCTTGTCAGCTAACAAGAGTGCTAAATTACCACCAGCATATCAAATTCCTAAGGAGCCAAGGGCTTGACAACACAAGGAAATGCAGCCAGTCACCAACTATCAACACACCAATCAGCTAATAGGAAGGTACACATAAACACAACTCCCAGAACAGCCCAAAGCACGTATTCCAGTAAAGAAATGCCCTGAAGATGGACTCCAAAAAGCTTGGAAAAATGAATCTCTGGTCCCAATGATTGACCCAAATTCGATTTTGCATCATTATGGGACATATATATTTGCCTTTATTCTTAAAACATATAAAGTGGAACCTCGGGTCATGAACACTTCTGACCATGACCAAACCGGGTGATGACCAAACTTTTTTGCCTCTGGTCACGAACACATCCTTGAGTTAGTGACCAAACACAGCTGCGGCGATTTCCCCTGCCGCACAATTTTTTGTTTGTTTACACATGCACAATCAGTCTTGCTTTTGGTCACAACCAACTCAGGTTATGACCAAAGTGCTGGAACGGATTACGGTTGTGACGGAGGTTCCACTGTATTTTTAAAAATTTGTCACAGATTTTAATTTAAATTATAATTTCACACATGGAATTGTTTGGCATCTAAAATTTAATTTCTAAAGCTCGTGAGTTTACATTGTGTATTTGATAGTATTGCAACAATATGCTACAGTGTTTACTACTTACAGTTCTTAATGATTTGAATAAAGTTTACTGTTTTTTTAATTTAAAGTTCAAAAGAGATAAGTGGGTTTTGACTGAAAATGGATTAAATGTCTTGTAATGCTATAATTATGCAACATTTGAGTAGTTGTATGTGTAGCCCTCTTGAATTATAGAGTGATTACCTACTTGGCAGGAAAAAAATTGTGGGTTTTTCATAAGTCAGCAGCCTACAAATAGGCAAGCCAGACACCTGCAGTTTATAGGATTGTAGTTTACTGGGGTGGGGGTGGTCAAAAAAATATTCATTTTTGAACCATACTGTAAGATTGTACATATTTCCAGATGGGGAAAAATTTTGCCAGGACCTTTTGGCATGGGTAGAACTTGAATCCAGGTAAATATTGTGTCTACTGGATTATCCTTTAATTTCTTTCAATGAAATAAAGCAATGATAGATTGTAACTCTAAAAAACATTCTTTTCATGGATGCACAGTTCCTTTGTGGAGGCTTGGGGTCATGTAGGAGTCACACAGAATATATCTGAAATGTGAATCAGAAGGACAAGAGAAACAGGGAGAGATGGCTCAAGCAAAAAAAAGGCCAAAAAACATAGCATAACACTTTACTTTTTTCTTTTACTTTCACGCTTTTCTGCTCTTTCCATTATTTCTAAAAGTTTTGCAGCAGTTAAGGAGAGGGATTGGTACCCACAAAAAGTGACTGGAAAGAAGGGTACATGTTCAGAGCCCTGGGTTTTTCTCTTACCTGTCTCAAATCAAAATCTAACAGTATCACATTATATGCTTTTAATTGCAATAGAACTATCATATTGAAAGAAGAAATATTCAAATAGAAATATGAATGAAGTATTTCAGGATTTGTTTGTATTATCTTTGGACAGCTTCCCTGTATGAAATGACCTTAGTAGTCATAAGACCGTATGACCACCTTGAGTTGTACAAATAAAGGGATTTGCATCTACAACATAATATTTAAAAGGCAATTATTGAATTCATTAAAGATCTGTGAAATTTTCCTGGGGAAAGTGTTCATGCTACAGAAAATCTGGCATATGAAAAATTATTACTTTCCCTCAAACACATAAATAAACAGTGTATGGCAGAGGCAAGTGAATATTTGTATTCTTCAAAGACTGTATTACTTTGGTGATTCCATGTATCTTCTACAAGGCCATTATAGAATTTCTCTGGAATCCCTGTTTGTTTTAACTTTTAATTATAATAAACATACAATTGTCATTTTTAACTCAATGTGGAAAAAAAAATATTGTATAGACTTAGTACAAACAAAGGGAAAAAACTAAAAATGACTCCAAACATTAAACTGTTTTGCTGAGTGAATTTTGTCACATCTAATAATGTATTCCTAGTACAAGCTTTAAAACAGCTGATCTCTGAAAGTTGTCCTATGATGAGGGTGAAGGGGCTTTAGTTTTTTTTGCATCCAGCAATTGAAAAACTGATCTGACTTTCAGAGGAGCTGCTTTCCCAGGAATAAGCCTTTTTTATTTCTTTCCCTCCTTTTTCCTCCCCTCTGTTTTGAATTGAGTGGTGAAATGCCACACTTGGTTATTTCCTGCTTTGATGGATAATAGCTACACAGGTTGGAACTCTAACAACTGGATTGAATTGCTCCTATATATTATTCCCATCCAAAGCTGGATCAGAAACATAAATACCATTTTGGAGCATTCTCCTCTGATACTTGCATTTTAACTTAAAATGGCACAGATGAGAGGAAGAATTGAAAAAATATCCCAAATGTTAACTCCTTGGAATCTTTTTTTTTTCCGGATTAAATCATGCATGTAATGTACAGGCAGCACATTTAATACACTGGGTAAAGTATTTCAACACTTAATAAAAGCAGTCTCCAGCCACGGTATAATGCATACTTACTTGGGAGCAAATCCTGTTGAGCTTGGTAGGATTTAACAATCATAGGTAGTTCTGTATTAGAAGGATTGCCTGTTAATAGCATACCTTAATGCAAAATGAAGTAAGACATGGCATGATGTCCTAAACTAATCCCTCACATAGTAGATCAGCATTTTATTTTGGCTTCTTCGTGTAAAAAGTGAATGAAGTTTTCCTTTCTTTGGTCCAGCTAGGGTTATGTATATCTGATGGGGAATGGGAAATTTTTTCTTGGAAATGAAGACTGTGGGAAGAAAGATTAAATAAGAATTGAGACATTAACTGCTCACAGCAGGCATTTTCGTTCAAGGAAAGGATGTCAAATCTTGGCTTTACTGGATTATGCAAAAACTTAGTTAATCATTAACAGGTACTCAGTAAAAGACTTCTATTTTGAATATCAGGGCTCCTTGTCCTTTTTGGGCTTGGTTGTCATAGTTTGGAATCTGGAGAACAGATAGTAGGTGCCCTTGCAAAATGACAGTTGGTCGGCTTGTCCAAATACAAAACAACTGCCCTGAAGAACACAATGACTTAACAAAGGACAGATGAACCAACATGCTGCCTAGATCTATTCCTGCAGGATGCTTCCTATCATCCCAGGTGTCAGTTTCTTTTGCAGAATTTTAGCTCCCTATTTTTAAAATGTGAATATTTTTAAATAAAAAGTTGGATCAAGAAGCTGGCAGATGCCAAGAGTGATGTCCATATGCTTACTAATGTTGCTGGTACTGTATGTACACAAAAGGACAGATTTTAAAAAATCTAATATTGTTATAACCATCTTATTTTTTGAATATAAAATATAAGAATTGGAAGGCAATTTGGAGATCCAATCTCTTTTCCAATATAGGAACATCTCCATGGTTTAGCTACATCATCTGTTAAGACTCCTCAAAATATTCTTTTGAAATCTCTTTCCAATTTTTCTGCTCTATAAGGGAGCAGGTGGAGAAAAAAAAAAACAAGTGATTTTTGTAGTCAATCTTTCATTTGCCTAGCCTTTTTCCACCTCTGGTACAATCACATTGTTCTCTATGTGTAGAAGAGCAAGCAGCTCACTTTTGAAATCCCTTTCTCTCCAATTAATCTGTTCTGTAAAGAGGGAGGAAAAACCCACATGTCAGACACCAGACAGTGAGTACTGACTGTAATGACGATTATGTGACTGATGGATGCTGTGAAGGCCATAAATGGTTGTAAATATGCTGTAGAGTTTTTTCTTTCTTTTCAGAACTATCATAAGTTTGAATGGTACTAAATAATAGTAATCAAAAATACCTGTTGCTGATGCAGTTTACAAATAGGTTGGTTGGTTAGTTGGTTTTAGCTACATCACATTATGGCTTGTGATTATGATTCACCAAGATACCCCAGATTTTTGGGGGGGCACATATTGCTGTTCAGTATGGTCCCCCTTCTCTATACTCTTACTTATGCTATAAGCTGCCCATAGTTATTGGATATAAGATGGACAACAAATAAATTTTATAAATAAAATACTCATGTTATTGAATTTTTCCCCTACCGCATTAGTCATACTTGAAATTTATTTTGCTAATTTTTTCCCATTTTACTATCTTGTTATTGTCTCTGTGGAGTTTGCTATCCCCCATGTTTGGGACACCTGCAAATTTGATAATCATATTTTCTGTGATTGCCAAGAGAAGTATTTAGTTTAGCTTTTGGCTTACCTAGAGAAGCATACCCATGATAAGGTGATAAGCAGCCAGTTGAAATTTCTGGTGTCGCTCTTGAAAAAGTTGGTAATGAATTTGTTCTGGGACAGAAATTCCATTTTCATCATCAGTTTGTTGAATTCAGACTTTATTTTTTATTCCTAAGCACTTCATAGTCATGCTTATAAAACTGTATAAAATCTATGCTAGATAAAAATATTGGAGAGACCAAATACACTACCTTATCCTCTTTAAACAATAAACAACAAAATGAGAATGAAATTATAGAGATCTTGGAACAGTGGGCACAGTTTTGGTACAGTTCAAGAAAATCTGAAAACCAGGGCTGTCTCACTTGAACAAGTCTCACTTGAAACAGGCAGTATAAAGGTTATAAGATGCTTCAACATAGTCTGAGAAAAATCTATACGTAGTTATCTCCAAAGAAGAATTCAGAAAATGGGGCAATTTTATATCTTATGTTCAGATGTTTTCACCATATAAAAAGGCACAAATGGGATAAAATACTAACATTTTGGAGGGCTTCTCCCTTTATACCGACTTGAATCAGATTTAGACTAATGGAAGGAAGTCTTCCAGAATGTGGAAATAAGCTTTCAGAATACATATCTAATTTCTAATATGTTAGCCAAAAGCCTGTCACCTTTAACAAATGGGACAGGAGAATTGGCTTTTTTTTTTCATTCAGTATATGTACTATCTAATTTCAAAGAAATATATTGAAAGGAGATGAAATCTCTTCGCCTTTAATTACTCCAACTTAAAATCAGATATGCTATTTATGTAACTTCAACTGGATTTCTGTTTTCTGGTAGTATGTACTAGAATGTTGGAAACTGTCTTACGTATCTCTAGGAGGGTGCATTTTATGTTATGAAAGTAATTAGAAAACTTTGTATTATGGTGCTTGAAATTTTGTCTAAAATGTTGTTTATTAGTCTTTATGAAAATAATATTCAGAAGTTAATATGATCCTAAGTAAATGGGAAATAAAGGCAAGGCAGAGGATTTCAAAATCTTAGTGGTTAAGCAGGATTTGGATAATGTGAGCTAACCTATGATAATGTAATTAAAACCTCTAGAAGGTTATTTTCCTTGCTACTTAAACAATGCATTAGCAAGGTATGAGTCTATTGTCCTTACTTCTTCCTTCTGTAATCTCCCAATTCATAATACCAAATTATTTAATTAAAAGGCAAGATCTCACTGCAAGATGCTGTGCAACTTAACAGATCAAAGCTGTTTGCTGAGCAATTTTGATTAACTGTGAATATTCTCTTTTTTCAAATTACTACATATCTTAAAATAATGCCAAAATGAATATGGAAATGACCCCTAGGTCTGTTTTTCAGACATGCAGGAGGCCGAATCCTCTCAACAATCAAGATGCAGTTGATAAAAGGCCGAAACAGCGGGGATGCTTTCTGTCAAGCAGCAGAGGAAGTTGTACAAGATTTGGATTTGAGGATTAAAAATATTATCAGTTTTCAGCATGAGGTTGTGGCAGCCAGCACTACTGGAATCAGTCCAGCCCGAGTAAGGGGCCTCCTTTTGTTCTTCTAAACTGCTTGATATAACAGATTTTTTTTCTTAAATGCCCTGATTATTTCTTGTACATTAGTTGAATAAAATAGTTGCTTTGAACAACCTTGGAAATGGTAATGTCTTTTAAAAATGTTTTTATTTTAAATGGGCAAATAGTTTCTACAAGAAGAAAAGCTTTCTCCTCTGAAGTAGTGCTGATAATTAGTTTAATCTTTGGGAAGTTCTCCTTTTGCTCCCCACCTTCCCTTCCAAGTATATTTTAGCAGTGGTTATTTTTATTTTGACTTCCCTATCTTGCGTTAATTGATTTATCTGCTGATTTCTTCCTGATGGGATTGCTTAACTCTTCCTAATGTTATTGCCTTGCTTGAATCTCATGTCAGTTTTTTGCCTCTTTGCTTGTACAAACACCAGCCTGTGCACCTTACTCTTTCTTGTACCCTGTTTGTATGTACCTTGCCTTGAAGTATACAGAGCCCGTTGATTAATGAAGATTTCTATCATGAGGAAGTTTTATCTGATGAATCTGCATTAGATGGTTTTCTACGGAAATGTGCCTACTATTTAAAAAAAAAACCCAAAATAGATATGAATAATATTTCAGATATTTCAATTCAAGGTTTAAGATAAAAATGGTAGCATGTGAATGTGATTACAGAGCTTGGATTGAAAGTAATTAATATGAATTCTGTGATAAAACTCTTTCAGTGTGGTCTAAAGTATCTAATAAAGTTATTTTAATTTTTAGCCAAAACTACATTCTATAAACCATGACACTGTTTACTGTGGAAGAGATACTGTGAAGTCCTTATTGGCTGTTTTAGATGAAGCAGCTAGTCATCCTCCTTTCAGCAACAAAGCTCTTTTGTTATTTGGATGTGAAGAATTTGGATTTCCTTCTGCCATGTTATTGTTCAAGTAAGTTCTAAGCCTGATGAGGCAGATTCAATCTTTGTTTTGTGAACTATTTTCTTTTGCAGAAAATATCTGGGAAACTATATAATAATGCTAATGCTGATAAAAGCCAGAACCAAAAGTGAATAACTACTTTTTCATTGTCTCTTTCTACCACTCATTTTATTTTTTTCCAACCCTTTAGAATATTAGAATAAATTATGCAGAATGTGTGATGCTATACTTTCTGTCTGTCCATCAGTGGGATAATTTTCCAAAAATTGAAACCCCAAATTTGGGGTCTGAGGAAAAGCCTGCAAAAGAAATATTGAACTTGAAAAAGGGCCAAATCTGGCTTTAGACTGTTAAAAAAAGGTTTCCTGAAAATAATCCCTAGCTCATTTCTATGAAAGAGACAACCGACAAACATTTTGGAATGTTGGTAATGGCTTCATTCTAGGACCCCCCCCTTTTTTTTTCTCAGCCACATGACCCTGAGCAGAGTACAGGTAGTCCTCAACTTATTATCATAATTCAACCTGTAATTGCGGTTGTAAGTCATGACAGTAATTAAGCAGATCATCATGTGACCACACCTGATGAAGGGGAACTTACCAAATTTGCAGATGATACTAAGCTGGCAGGAATAGCTAACACCCAAGAAGATAGGCTCAAGATCTAGATGGATCTTGACAGACAAGAACACTGGGCCATATCTAATAAAATGAAATTCAATATAGAGAAAAGTAAAGTCCTACACTTAGGCAAGAAAAAACAAAAGTACACATATAGACTGGGTAAAACCAGGCTCAACAGAAGTAACTGTGAGAGGGATCTTGGAGTCTTAGTGGACAGCCAGCTAAATATGAGCCAGCAGTGTGCAGCAGCAGCAGCCAAAAAAGCTAATGCAATCCTAAATTGTATTAACAGAGGGATATAGTCAAGATCAAGTGAGGTACAATACCACTCTATAAAGCCTTAGTAAGACCACACCTAGCATCCAGTTTTGGTCACCACATTATAAAAAAGATGTTGAGACTCTAGAAAAATAACAGAGAAGAGCAACCAGGATGATTAGGGGACTAGAGAAGAAGGGTTACAGGAACTGGGCTTGGCTAGTCTAGTAAAGAGAAGGACCAGGGGAGACATGATAGTGATCTTCCAAAATTTGAGGGGCTGCCACAGGGAGGAAGGGGTCAAGCTATTTTCTAAAATGACTGTAGGCCAGACAAGGAATAATGGATGGAAACTGAACAAGGAAAGATTTAACCTGGAAATAAGGAGAAACTTTCTGACAGTGAGAACAATCAACCAATCAACAGCTTGCCCTCGGAAGTTCTGGGAACACCATCACTTCAAGAAGAGATTGGACTGCCATTTGTCAGAAATGGTGTAGATCTCCCACTTGGGTGGGGGTGGGGGTGGACTAGATGACCTATAAGGTCCCTTCCAACTCTAATTATCTGCTATCTGTTATCTGATTGTACAACCCTTTTTGCAATGATTGTTAACTGAATGTGATAGTCATAAAGCGAATGTTGCCATCATTAGGCAAACCCATTGTTCATTATTAGGGCATTTTTGCTGGAAAACTTTAAATCGCAGTTACTTGACTGCAAATGGTCATAAATGTGGGCTAGTTGCCAAGCATCCAAAATGCAATCATGTGACTGTGGAAGGGGATGGCCATTAGAAATTCATAACTGGATTGTTAGTACCCTTTTCAGATCTGTTGTAACTTCAGATAGTTGCTAAATGACCAGACAAGTCAAGACCTATCTATATATGCTGCTCACTTTGTGTTTCCTAGTGTGCACAAAACCCAGACACAAGACAGTTGGAGAGCAGAAACATATACAAACAGATGCAACATATTACTGAAAATATAGATGTCTTCTGTGACTATTGTTGATAAAGCAGTTGGATAAAAAAAATCCCAGAAGCTATGTTTTGGCTCCTTACCTTGTTTATTCTATCCAGCCTAGTGGAATGTTTGAAAGAATTATTTAAGAAGGTTTGGATTTATGTCTAATACGATAACTTCCTGAAAACTGAACCATATGGGCTCCAATTTGATGGTGATTGGGGGGGACAAAAGAAGGATGGAGGTAATGATACGAAAATCTTGAAAATTTCTCCAGTGCACTTCCCCAGAGAGTGAGAAGGAAACTGGGATCCTCTTGGAATGTTGCCATCTCAATTCCAACCTCTCCCCTCTTTCTTCTCTCTCAGTCAATGACTAGAGCAGGCAGCTATTAAGAAGTTGGAAATGGTTGCACAAGCCTTGCTCAGCAGGCTTTTGTTCTCTTTTTGATCACTCCATTCCTGCCTTTCCCCCACTTTTTTTGCTTTGCTTAGTAGCTGCCAAAAACTGGGGAAAGATTGCATTTGTCAGAATTAATAGTTTGCAGAGAGCTAGAAGAGAGTACATGGAGAGCTAAGGTCACAAATGAATCCAGAGGCCTGTAACTTTTAGAATGGTAGGTTATTCTGCATCTGAAACATCAGCTTTTTGGAATGCTATCTGTCAAAATTCTGTCCTCGGTCAGTATTCTGTTGTGGCTATTGCAAAGGAAAATTGGATGAGATATAGTACTTAGGACCTCAGGATATGACTAGAATGTGAAAAATAATTACCTAGCAAAATTAGTCTTTTATTACTAAGAGCTAAATAGATGATTCTAGCTGCAAAGTTATAATGCTACTGATTCTTCCTTTCTGAATATAGAACTTAGGTGTGACCATAAACACAAATTCAGTAGCAAAAAAGAGGAGAAATATTTGAATTGTGAAGCATAAGCATAAAAATTGAAATAAAGGAAGAATAACCAGATTTCTAATTTTTAGTTGACCCAATCAAGCTGTCACAAGTAGAGATAATGCACATATGAGGTTAAGCACGTACAGAATCTTTCATTTTATAGTGGGATCCCTTATCTAAGTAAATTGGCTTTCTCAAAAATGGATTAAACACCACACAGACAAAAGGTTCTGAATTTCAGCTCATTTAATGTATTAACAAGTATTCTAAATCTATACGTGAATATCATATAAGACTAGTACCATAGTAACCAATGTGTTTCATGCTTACCATAGTTGCTTGTATTTTGTTTAAATATTAATACAGATCTCCAACACAGTCCAGGGGATCTTCTCCCAAAGCTCTGAGACAGCGGATTCAAATGGCAGTATGTGAAAAAATTAAGGTAGATTAACCATGAACTTCTCTTGCCTGCCCCTCCCTCCAAGATGAAGCATTTATTTAAATCTAAACTGTGTTGTTTATGCATTCTGGCATACTACTTGTAATGGTACGCAACGGAACTTCAGATATAGGGAGAAGAGACACAGCCAAGGGAATGGGCAGATAAAAGGAATGCAGTTCAGAAGGGACCCTCCCTAGTTTCTTGAATGTAAAAGGGAGCCAGGGGGTGGGGTGGGGAGGGGGGAGAAAATATATAGATTTGCAAGATTTTTTCGTTAACATAACCTTACCATAAAGTAGAATTACTCATCTGGCCATGTATCCTGTTTGATCCAACTTTGAAAGTTGTTGCTACTGTTCTATTTTCTGGGTTGGTTTCTTTTTAAAAGGAAGGAATAGATCACCTTCAAGGGAAAATGAGCCTATTGTCCAGGAGGGTCATTAATGATGCTAAGGCATAGTTGCTGTTAATGTTCTCCTACCTGAACTAGAAGGCTTGCAGCCAGAGATTTAAACATGAAGACACTTAGCACTTAGAACTATATACCGCTTCATAGTGCTTTACAGCTTTCTCTAAGCGGTTTACAGAGTCAGCTTGTTGCCCCCAACAATTTGGGTCCTCATTTTACCCACCTCGGAAGGATGGAGGGCTGAGTCAACCTTGAACCTGGCGAAATTCAATCTGCCAAATTGCAAGCAGCTGGCAGTCAGCAGAAGTAGCCACCATGCCATCAGGGCTCCTCAAAGATACTTCTTTTTCTGTAGATTCTAGAAAAGCCCTTAATAAGAAAGAAAACCCAGCATTTCATGACTTACATATTGCCAGCCCCAAGATGAAATACATCTTTTTTTTCTCCTGTCTTTACATTGCAATGGCTTGAGTGTCTTTTGTTTCTCAGCAGGAATGATTGGTACCTTTGAATTTTATTCTGTCTGGGGTCAGTCCCTTTCCCCCCTAAGCTTGCGAGCATCATCACCTCAAGTAATACAGGAGGATATTATGAAAACAAAGCCAGAAAATGGGGTGGGTGGGAGGGGGAAGCTTGCTTCTGTGTGACAAGAAGCTTTTCTCTTAATGCTCCCCCCTTGTTTTCAGCTTCAAATTGAACATAGACTCCCTTTCCCATATTGCTACAACAGTGCGTTGTGTAAGATTACATCTTAGAAATGCTGAAATTCCATTTTTGCTAACTTCTGCAATATAACCTCTTAATGAACATTAATTACTTCAACCGCTGGTGCATAAGAGACTACACCCATTGTTCATCTATTACTTATTTCAACAATTAACAAAAATACAATATAAATACATTTGCAATATTTTTACATATATTTAGATCTTTTTAATTCCCCCTGCCTGTTAAATTAAGTCAAGAATGGCTCCCCAAAGAACCACTTGAAGATAGTTCACCTTGCATGAATTTTCCCTTGTCTCTGGACCCTCCCTTTCCTCTTGGCTCTACCTGTTTTTTTTCTGAAAGAGATCGTTGTCTGACTTTGTTCATGCATCGCACCAAGGTACTGAATAATGTAAATATGGATTTGTGTTAGATTGTTACATGAATACAGTCATTCTGCTTTATAAATGTTGTGCCAAGTGTGACTGATTCAGTAAATCTTGACTAGAGAAGTCTTGACTTAGTGCAATACATGAACATAGCTTATATTAGGCCTATGTTTATTTGTGTACGTGTATGTTTACATACAGTGGAAAAAAGATTATTTTTTATGAACTTATGAGAGTCCTTTAAAAAAGTCAATCAAGGCTGCAGCTTTCTAAAACACATCTAATGTGGCTATTTTTTCGTGTGAAATACAAGCAATTATACAGTAATTTTAGGCATTCAATTAGTTATTCCAGCACGCAAACTAAAGAAATGGAAAAAAATGCCAGAGCTTTGCTTATATTTATCACAGTCGAATAGAAATCTGTCTTCCTCACTTATACATTATAATTCATATTGATCTACTTCCTTTTTAGCTGAAGCAACCTTTAATTAGATCCCAGTTTGCTTGCACTTATAAAGATGACCAAATAATCAAGCCAAAGAATCAACCCTTCAATTCATCAGCAGATGTGTATCCAGCACTCCAAAAAACAGCAGCTTCTCATACTGAAGACAGATCAACTTCAGGTAAATTCAGTGAGCAATATCTCTCTACTTCTCTGCCCCCTCATTTATTGGCCAGGATTAATGTATATGCTGTCAATTAATTGAACAGCTCCTAAATAAATGAAATAATTGCTATACCAATGTAGAAGTGATCCGCTAGACATATTTTGGCACCTGCAGTAGCTAGTTAGATGCCACAGGAAGCTCAAAGCAAGGCATGAAGGCAACAACCTTTCCCTGCCAAGGAGCGAATAGGTGTGAACTGGTAGAATCCAACCTTGATTAAGTGGCTGTCATGAAAAAAAACCCACCTGAGCTTCTTTAAGACAATACAGTAAGTCCATGCTGCCAACTTAGCAGTTTGAAAGCAGATAAACACAGGTAGATAATAGGTACTACTTTGGTGGGGTGTTGCCTTTGGCATATAATCATGTCAGCCATATGATCATAGAAGCGTCTTCAGTGTTGTACATCATGTCCGCTATCTCTTTCTTTTTAATTAAATCCAGTTTAGGCTGTAATCCTTTTTATACACATATAGAAGTATATATAAAATGTATCTTTTTCCTGTAATGTGAAATGTGTTAGCCCCTCCCTCCATGTTCACAGAACTTTTTTCAAACTCTTTGCAGGTAATGTTGATTTTTTATATCTCGAGTATTTTGTGTGTTATATTAGCATGCAAAACAGGAAAGGAGAGTTGGAGTTTGGCATGGTGATCTCACTTGTATCTGTTGATTGTTTTTTATTGGAGCTCTTATCTTTTCCAGAGTTTGCATGGTAGCCATGTGGGATCAAGAAATCCAAGTATGCCCACTTGCCCTTGCATTACTCACAAGTTTTACTGCTCTATTCTTTCTTGACACAGAATCATCTCTGAGCACATAAAAGTAACACTACCTTTAAAACAGACTGTAAGCAGATCCAACTATTTGACCTAGACTAGAGCATGAAACACTGAGGCAATCAAACTTTTAAGATTTGAAAATAACATTGCTTGTTTTTTTTTAGGGCATGTTCTGTGTTTTCTTTTAGAGATAAATAACTGAAACCTCATTGAAAATGCTGCAAAAAATATCTGGGCTGTGAACTGAGTAAACATCAATACACTGTAGCAGTTCCCATGCTCATAAAAGCTTATGCAGTTATTGGTTCATTTAACTTGAATATTTCCAAGGCTCTTTCCTGTTGTTTTCTTCTGAATTAATATCTTCTGCCACCTATGTCATTATGAGATTGACTTTTTGTATTTGTCCAGTTAAGTGGCTGATAAAGTACACTTTGAACTCTTCAACAGCAAAATGTAATATCTTTCGGTGCTTGGGCACTGCATCAAAATCCAGTTCATATTTTTCAATAATTTGCACGTGCTTTTAAAATGAATGGTTTCTTGTACTCTTGTTTTTATACGTGTTTATTTTCTGAAGTGGTTGCTGAAGTATTTTTTTATGTTAAGGGTGATGGCTCAGATTGTATAATGTTTTCAATTAATTTTTTCTACTAATTAGACTTAGTTAACTCAATTTACAAGAACAATGTCTCTTGAAAATTAACAGGGGTGACTAGTATGCAACAAAAACAATTTAAAAACAGTGTATTTTTCCCCCTTATTTATTTATTTTATTTTATTTATTTATTAGATTTGTATTGCTGCCTATTCGCCATGAATATAAATGTTATAAAATGTTTTGTTTTCTTAACCATCAGAAAGCCTGACTTCATCGCTTGAAAATACTACACTTGGAACTGGTTCTGAAAATGTTTGTCAGAATGGAAATACAAGAAATGAAATAGGAAAATTAAGTTGCCAGCCAGAGAACAAGAATCCAAAGAGGAAGCTGGTGGACAGAACTAGTGAAAATGTCATATTCACTAATGAAAATGAAACATCACAGTATAAGAAACCCAAGACTGTAGTGAAATGCCAAAATAGTTTAGACAGCAAACTAAAAGAACCCCAAAAATCCAAAAAGGCTGTACCCAAAAAGAAGCTTATTATTGGGCAAGCGAAACTAACTCAGTTCTTTAGGTTGTAAATGTCAGTGGCTTAAAAGGGGGAAAAAAAGAGACTATATTAAGATTCCATTGCAATCATGATTATGCAGAAGTTTTATATACATAATACTTAAAAATTAAATCATCAAGTTTTATGCAGAATTCTCAGTTTAATAATGCACTGTGATTTTACACTTGTTTCAATATGTAGCATTCTGACATAGAAATATTTAGAATCTTTACAAACACATAGCAATATTTTAACCACAATTACATTTTTTGTGACTTATCAAGGAAAGGGCTTGTCTCCTCCAAGTGATGCATTTCAGGGTCGTCTTAGGCTTGCCAACAAGGTCGATACACTCTTCCCAGCATACATCTGAGCACTAAAGAAAACACAACAAAAATGTGTGATTTTGACTGTCAAGTACGTATTTTTATAAACAAGTTTTAACTACATTGTCATCTGTAGTGGCATGTTGTAAATTATCACTCATTTGAAATTTTAACTCATTTTTTCTATTAAATATTTAGAACACATGTTATCTTTTAAATCTTACATTCAACCAGTCACTCTTCAAAAGATCAAGTGGGACCTACAATTTTTAAAGACTTAGGGTAATAATAAACCTTTCTTTTTCAGAGAAACTTATTCTGATGATCGATTGCTACATTTGTCCTTTGATATAGTTTTACCTGTGTTAAATACATAGAGATGCAATTGAATATACATGGGTGAATGAAACACTGGCTTATTCCTGAGCAGGCTTAAGCTAAAATAATTGGCTGATTTCTAAGGCACCCCAAGTCTTCAGGAGTTTGTTAGAGAAACCTGACTACCTTTTGTGTGAATGCATTGAAAAAGATGATGAAAAAAGGCAGCTCACGGGAGAAGAGGGAGAAACATTTGTGTCCCTCCTGCTAAGCCAAGTTAGAAAAACTCTTATATTTGGGCATCTGGACATAGCACTAACCTGGAGGCATCACTCTGCCAATTCTCTTTCTCTCTGGCTGGATGTTCCTTGTGACTTCCACAACTGGCCTAGCAGCATGAGGATTGCTGACAAATTAAGGTGCACTTCAAATTGCTATTGTAGCTAGTGGACAATTGCCCCAAAGAAAATGGTGGGCCACATATGCCACAGAAGTTAGGCAGGTGGAAAACTAGCTATGTGGCTCTTCTTGAGCCCCCACTGCAATGTGCAAGAGAAAAAGGAACTTGAAAGTTGGGAGTACAGGTAGTCCTCGACTTATGACCACAATTGAGCCCAAAATTTCTGTTGTTAAGTGAATTTCGCCCCATTTATGACCTTTCTTGCTATAGATGTTAAGTGAATTTCTGTGGTTGATAAGTTAGTAACCCGATTGTTACCAAAAGGTGATCACGTGTCCTTGGGACACAGCAATGGCCATAAATATGAACCAGTTGCCAAGCATTTGAATTTTGACCACACAATCATGGGGATGCTGAAAAGGTTGTAACTGTGAAAAATGGTCATAAGTAACATTTTTAGTGCTATTGTAACCTTGAGTGGTCACTAAATGAATTGTAAGTCGAGGACTACCTGTACTGAAGATCACTAGTCACATACATCAAGGAATATAACCAGCTGAGAAATCTGAGAATTGCCTTGAGCTCTACTTAGATTGCTTCTGCTTATCACTGGAGAAATGGTGGCCACAGTTATTCATTTCAATAGTTATAACTATGATTTAGCAAATTAAGGTAATAATGTTTTGCAGAAACATGAAAATATAACTCACGGTCAAAATCTCTTCTTCCGATAGGCAAATTAGCTGAGTTTTCATCACTTCCTGTCTCACGCCGTTCTTGTATTGATTCAATATTTTCAACCTCAGCATTTGATGGAAAAGCCATAGGTCCCTCCAATTCCAAATAAGGAATCTGCTTAACATTTAAGCTCCGTGGCTGGCCGTAGTTTATGACATGATGTTTATAACCTATATTCTGTACTCCAGAGAATAAGTGGAGATGAAAATTTCCGAAATAAAAATATTCCAGTCCTTAACCCACTAATGAGCCATTTTCAGAAAAGAGTTATCTTCAGATTGCAGTATAGTCTATCCTGAAGTTTAGTTTTTAGCTTAAAATCAAGAATCAAACCAGGTTTTTTCAAGGCAAGACATCTTAATACATAGCCAAGAGATGTTAATGTGAAATAAAATTGATTTGTTTGATTAAGTTTAATAATACCAAGGTCTACTTAAAAAATTTTTTTTTCCTTTGTGATATGTATTAATGATGGTAAGAGCAACATTAAGACTCATTTTTAAACTAAAGCTGAAAGGCATGTTTTTTCTTTTAAACTCTTTAAGACTGAAAATACAATATTAACATTTTCATATATACAAAACACAGCATTCTGTTCGCTTCATTTTAGGATGATAGCTGCTTCAAATCACATTCCATACTAATTATATAGCAATAGCACTTAGACATATATACTGTCTCACAGTGCTTTGCCAATAAGCAGTTTACAGAGCCAGCATATTGCTCCCAATAATTTGGCTCCTCATTTTACCAACCTCGGAAGGAAGGAAGGTTGAGTCAACCTTGAGCCAGTAAGGATTGAACTGCTGGCAGTCAGCAGAGTTAGTCTGCAATACTGCATTCTAACTACTGCACCACTATGGCTCTATATATTGGCATATCTGAAATAATATATTCCAATGTTTTGTTACAAATTTATGGTCCATAATGCTAATTTGTGTTACACAATAGCTACACAGAAAACTCACTGAGAAATGAGGGTTTCGATCTTCATCCAGAAAACTGCTGTCCTCCATTTTATAATGCTCAAAAGAAGATGTAGGCAGAGACTTTCCAGCTTTGTCACCATTCTGCGTTATCTTTCCAAGGCTGAATGTGCTTAGCAGCATATTATCTTCTGCTTTTCGCATAGACTTTGAAACAGAAAGCAAAGACCCTTGAGACAAAAGAGAAAAAATCAATAGTAATACATGGGATGAGGTACACATTCTCCAGCGTTTAGATGTTTGCATGGAGGTGAACAAACTTTAAATATTACTTAAATGAGACTAATTTGAAAATAGAACATGGACAGAAAAATGGTATTATATAGCTTGCGGAATGAATAGATACCACTTCAATGACTTACACTGTGAGAACTGTGAGTAAAGAGAACTGACCTTTTGCATATCATTACATGTCTTTTGTTCCAAACCATAGGTGATGAGCTGATTTTCGATACATTCATTATATACTTTGGATTATCTTATCAAGTACCACAGGACAATTTTCTTCTGAATTCTAAGTTAATCTTTAAATTCCACTTCACACAGTCTCAGGAAAGAATTAATTTGTGCATGTGTGGAAAAAGAAAGGCAGAAAGACTTCATTATTCATGCTTTAAAAACTAAGGCTTCTTGAGAAATAAGAGAAAAACAGTCTGTGAGGAAAAGTCTTAAGCAATTAAATCTTAAAGAGAATTCAAACCCCTTCCAACTTGTCCAGACAAAATGTTTCGTACATGTGCATAAAATAAGGAGTCATGGATATAATTTGAAATATGCCACACTTGTGCTTTAATTTAATTTTGAAGTAGATGCCATGACTCCTGCTTCCTTAGGAGAGAATATTATTTAAACGAACATGAGTTTTTGTCTCATAAGTGTTCAGAGGAGACAGATTTAATATAGAAATAGTGACATGAGTGAGGAGTAACTTGGCTCTGTGCCTGTCTAATGTTTTTCTCAAGCAGCTTTGTCTGAGATTTTGAATTGTTCCACCCTTGTTCCACAAAAGTATAAATATAAGAAAAAGTAGCTTAGAAGATATCAAATAATAGAATAAGCCAAGGAATATAGGAGTAATTCAAGTAATGGCATTTGAATTAACTGCAGTAAGCTACCATTGGATATTCAGTAATAACTGTACACACCAGTTTGCTGAATCAAGACAAAAGAAGATAATTAATTAAATTAGTTATTTAAGGTCTTATTCAATGAGGCTGGGGAAAAAAAGAAAACGAAGAGTCTGCCAAACAAGCTGGTGAATGGACTCAGACTGGTAATAGATGTGCCTTTAGATGATCAGATTAGGGACAGATTATCATGGAGGATATTTATGTGGACTGGGCACTAAGAGTTAACATTGAGTTGATGTCACATAATCAACAAACATGGATCATAAAACAGTAGATTTTAAGCCTGAAACTTGACTATGAAATAGATCATGAACTGTTCACGTGCATGCTCCAGATAAACTAAAGCAAAAGAATAATGCCAACTGTTTTCCACTATAATATTTTGAACAGATACCCACAGGTGCAATTCAGCTGGTTCTCACCTGTTGGCCGGAACCAGGGGTGGGATTCAACTGGCAATGCTACTGGTTCGGTATTTGTGTTTTGCGAGATGCACGCTGTGCGCACGTGTATTACACTATTAGTCGAGCCACTGGGATAGCTGATAAGTGCTCAGGTGCATTTTTTTTACTGCTTTTTCAACCTCAGCTGTGCCGCGCAAAGCAGCTAAGGTTGAAAAAGCAGGAAATAAAGGTCAGGTAAGAGGCCGGGCGGGCAGATGGGCCAAACAGCAGCAGATACAGAACCGGTTCTGTGTCTGCTGCTCTTCAGAGCTACAGAGGTGGGCAGAACCAGTAGCATCCCAACCCTGGTCCAAACCATTAGTTAATTGCTTATGCAGTTTGGAGAACTGGCTAAAAATAAAGTGCAAGAGAGTTCCCCCCATCTCACTCTTCAATGAATAGCTCTGGGCAGACAGCCAAGAACCACTTAACAGTTGCAGTTGGAATGCAGCTGATACACACTGAATCAAGTCAATAAACAACAGAAACTGACAGGATTAGGACAGGGAAACCCATCAATCACCCATCTAGGGATGGGATTAACCTCTTCCCTTCAGGAAGGAGGACACGATTACAAACATTTCATTATAAAGAGTATTAAGTAACTTCTGTGATCAGCTGATACTCCCTGGAGTTTCCCCAAGACCTTTTATAGCTGCTGCAGTGTTGGTTACTTCTTGTTTCTTCCTGGGGAAAAAGATAGAGGAGGGGACAATGATGCAGCTTGATCATACAGGCCGTGAATTTAATG